GCTCAGCCCCACAGCCCTCGCCTGCCCGGCCCTGCGTCCCCCCCCACTGTGGACTCGGTTATTTAAGGGTTCTGTGCTCATGTCGCTCGATGACGGTAAATACAGCCTTGACTGTGAATGAGCCCGCGATCGTGTGTTCTGTGTGGTGTGGGAGCGGGGCGGGGGGCTGGACCCCCGCCTTCCTCCCCCGGGGACGGCTGCCTCATCCCCGTGGACTGCCTCCCGGGAGCAAGCCCCGCATGGGGAGGAGGGGGTCGCCCGTCCCAGGTGAGGTCTCAGGTGAGTGGTCCCCGGGGGCCGCCTCCCGCTGCGGGAGCGGACACTGATGCAGCCTCACTCCGAGGAGTCAGCCTTGCGGGGGTGATCCGCCTTAGGGCCACGCCAGCATGGATTTCTGCTTCCTGGGAGCACTCTGAGGGAGCATTCTTTGATGGGGCGCCCTCCTGGGAGCACTCTGTGGGGAGCACCCTTCTGGGAGCGGTCTGTGATAAGACGTTCTTCTGGAAGCACGCTGTGAAGGAGCATCTTCCTGGGAGTGCTTGCTGGGGAGCACTCTCCTGGGAGCACTCTGTGAGGAGACACTCCCTGGGAGCATTCTGATGCAGCATCTTCTGGGAGCACGTTCTGAGGAGCACTTCCTGGGAGCACTGCTCTCTGTGAGGGAGCACTTTCCTGGGAGCAGTCTCTGAGGGGGCACCTCTCAGAAGATCAACAGCCCAAGTGACCCGGCACCCCACTCCTAGGAGGATTTTGAGCTCACTCGATTTCCATGCCTCCTCAAAACTCAGAAGCCGAGCCCTTGGATGAGAAACCCCGCTGTAAACACCCGGCCTTGAAGTCCATTTAATTTCAGCGGGACCTGAAGGAGGTGGTCAGGCCAGTGACGTGAACAGAAGCGTTGGGGTTCCACATGTGTGTCTGAGGGAAGCTTCCAGAATTGGCAGAAGGTTCTAAGAAGTCAAAATGGGGGACATCGTCAAGAGCCAGAAAGACTCCTCAGCAGCCCAGGCGGGGGCACAGCGGTGAGGTCTGTCTTGGCATTTGACAGGCCTCCGCATAGCATACAGCAGGAGCCAAATAGGGCTCAGGTGAAGGAAGACACCAGGGAAAGCAAGGGGTTTCCCAGTTCCCCAGCTGCCCTGGTACTGCCTTTCCCAGGCTCTAGTGAAGGCCTGGGGTCATGTGACCAGCTGGGAGTTGGCACGCCAGGGGGGGGCTGCTGCAAACACTGGCTGCCAGATGGAGCCTCTGCTCCCTTTCCACAGCCGCCTTTGCTTGCCTCACCTGCAAGGACCCGCGGCCGCACTCAGGACCACCCAGGACAGGCATCCCCTGCCGTTTGACCCAGCTGCTGCCCCAGCTGCAGAGACGGCCTTGAAGGGAACGTGTGGGGGTCTGTGAGCTGTAGCGCGCACCCCTGATCCCTGCACGCCGGGAGGCCGAGGCAGAAGGATCGCCTGAGCCCAGAGGTCGAGGCTGCCGTGAGCTCTGATTGTGCCACTGCGTTCCAGCCCGGATGACAGAACAAGACCCCATCTTTAAAAAAAAAAAAAAAGATAAAAAAAGACTTGAGACTGTAAGGTTTGCCAAAGAAGGAGCACACCTTCTATGTTCAGGCAAAAGAGTTTATTAAAGCAAAGCACCTGGGCTGACACCAAAGTGGCATCGGCCCGACTTGAAGCAGGGAGGATCTTTTTTTTTTTTTTTTTTGGTGGGGGGAGGATCTTTTATATGCGCATAGTGTAAGGGATTCGGGAGTGAAAAATTTCTTGCAAGCTGCTGAGCTCAGGGGCGGAGGAAGGGGCTCCATGAGAAGTCAGTGGGTCTTTTGTTTCCGTCTTTGTGAGTCTGGGGGCTAAGAGCTCCTTGGGAAATCGGGGAGCCTTCCTTTGTGAGCCAGCTGGGTGGGGGCGGTTAGGGCACAGCTTTCCGGTTTTTCAACGTTAAGACAGACTTGAGGGGGAGTTAGAACAGGGCCTTCCTGCTTTGCAATGTCAAAATAGCCCTGGGGGACAGTTTCCTGTGCTGATAGCAGGGAAGGGGTGGGGAGGGGTGAGTGGGGGTTGTAGCTCCCTCGCGGAGCCCAGAGGCTGGGCCTGGTCTGTGGGCTTCTTCAGCGGCGTTTTTCAGCCAACCACGGACACCAGCCTGGAGCTTGAAGGGTCGTGAAACAGGCTGTAGGATCACGTAGACCACACAGAGCTTTTGGGGGCTTTGGCCAAGGGGGGCAGCTGCCGTCCAGCCCAAGGGAACGGCCCAGCTGGGCAGGACTGGTTCTCTGTGTCCCAGAAGCTCCTTACAGGCTGGGAGGGCCCCAGAAAAGGGCTGTGCCTGGGTCTAGGACGTGACCCCAGGGAGGGAGGGGGAGACCCCAGGGCCTTCACACACAGAAGGCGTCAGTGACCCAGAGACCGAAGTAAAGCCTTCCCCGGCTGGCCTCGGCCTGATGCTGCTTGTCTGGCCTTTCCTCCTGCTGGGCGCCGTGTGATCACAGAACAGCTGCCTCGGCTCCTTGCAAGTGAAGGAGATGCTGGCCCAGCCTCAGCGGCTCTTCCTTCTGGAAACATCGCCCTTCCTAGAGCCCCGTCCTGCGCAGGGTTCCCGCCGGGCTATGGCTAAGATGGGTGGCCCCACCTGCTAGTGGAGGTGCTGGAGGGGGCGTGGGGTGGCCTGTTGGCGAGTCTGGACTTGGTGGGGCTGTCCCCAGGGCCCATGGAGACATGCGATTCTCATCTGGCGGCCAACACCCACACCTCCCTGTTGGAGACACACGGTGTTTTGCATAAATGGTTTCCCCCCCTTTTTTTTTGAGTTGGAGTCTCACTCTGTCACCCAGACTGGAGTGCCGTGGCCACTCCCAGCCACTGCAGCCTCGACCTGTTGGGCTCTGGCGATCCTTCCGCCTCAGCCTTCCAAGTAGCTGGATCTACAGGCATGCGCCACCACGCCTGGCTAATTTTTGATGTATTGTAGAGAAGAGGTCTCACCAAGTCTCCTTTTCTGGTCCACGCAACCGGCCGCTGCGTGTTCTTCTCCAGAGCTGTGTGTGCAGCTCGGGCATCTCTGAAGTTCATGTACAAGTAGAATAGGGGCAAGCCCCGGCCCTGACTCCTGGCTCGCAGCTGCTCTGGGCTGACCCAGGGTCTCCTCGCCAGGGTGGGGGCTGGTGTGGCCTCCCCGAAGGAGCAGAGGTCTCACAGGGACAGCCGAGCATGCAGCCACTCAAGGACCCTCCACCGGGAAGACTGAGGCGGAAGGATCACGGGAGCCCACTGCATTCCAGCCTGGGTGACAGAGTGAGACTCATTGCAACTCAAAAAAAAAAAAAAAATTAGCCGGGCGTCGTAGCATGCACCTGTAGTTCCAGCTACCTGGAAGGCTAAAGCGGAAGGATTGCCAGATCCCAGCAAGTCGACGCTGGGGTGACCGTGAGCCTGCCACTGCACTCCAGCTGGGGTGACGAAGTGAGACTCCAACTTAAAAAAAAAATTAGCCAGCTAGGCTCAGTGGC